CTCTTGTTTCTAGCCTTTAAATATCTATCATTTTCCATCATGATTTTCTTACTTCTAGAGGAAAAAGTCCTTCCCTTTTCGGCCGGTTGTGAGCGAGGAGGGATTCAAACCCCCGACACCGTGGTTCGTAGCCACGTGCTCTAATCCTCCGAGCTACAGGCCCCACTCCGTCTCCACTGGATCTGTTCTCGGGGATACCCTAAAAAAAGAAACTTTTCCACTCCCCAACCATTTGTCATTTCGGATTAAGAAGATGTGAAAGCGCCTCTCTCTCTATAAGAACGGCATCCATGTGGGCAAGTTTCTCCATTTATATCTATATTCATTTCAAAGTGAGGTAAGGTCTAACAAAGAAAAAATATATTTTCACTCGATCATGTAGAATTGTTTAGATTAAATGAACTTAGAACAATAGTTTTAAGTCAAAATATTAAAAATATAGTCATAATAATTATTTTCTACAAGTGGGGTCGATGATAAATGTCCTGAATGGACAGTTGGAAATGTTCGGGACAGAACGATTTTAGTCATTCCAGAATCACTTCCTAACACAATCTAAGACTAGGTGCTTCCACGGCGGTATAGGTAGAAGAAGCTGGAGGAGAGGGAAGAAAGAAAGGACTGCAAGAACTTTGCAATAAACTTGCAGAGTAGTAGGAGTTAAGATATCCAACATCATCACAAAAATTACAGGACCCAAAATAAGATGGTTAGAAAGGTGGGGTGAGACCAAAATCACATAATTCCCATTCTAATCTACAATAAGTAAACATGTTCCTCCTCCCTCTGGTGTTGTTTTTCCCATCCCCATTGCAAAAGACAAGCCAAAATGGAAACAGAAGCTAAGAAAACACACATGGGGGTGGTGGATTGGTATTTTTCATGTTTTTATCAATGGAACAGACTCATTAGCAGGCTATTGAAGATGCTAAAGGAGTTACCAGCACAGCGGTTTTCCCAGCCATTGGTTGGACGTTGCTCGCTGCGTTCTCGAGTTGCTCCCATACCTGCTTCCGTTTGTTTGCTGCTGATGTTTCCTTTGCTTCTTGCTCCTTGAAGTGTGCGTGGCAGGATACGAAGAGGTCGTCGTCCATCTCCATGAATATCTTTCTAACGTTGTGGGTTAGGTTCACTACTGCTTGGTTCCAATGGCTCTGTGCATTCCTCTCTAAGGCGGGTAGTACGATGGGCAATATCACGTGTCGGTTGTGCGCGATCAAGTTCACAATGTGGTCGTTGTTCCACAAGAAAAGGGATCTTTCAGCTACCTGAAAAGGACAGCAAGTTGATGATCTAACATTATCAGTAACAATGATGTTGAAAGAAGACTAAACTTTAAGGCGAAAGATGAACCCACTGAATGAGACAGCTAAACCAAACTCAACCAAATCAAACCAAAATGTTTATGTGAAGTTCAAGCCCACCGCTAGCAGATATTATCCGTTTTGGTCCTTTACGTGTCACAGTTTTAAAACATGTCTACTAGGGAGAGGTTTCCACACTCTCATAAGGAATGTTCCATTCCCCACTCTAACCGAGGTGGGATCTCACAATCCATCCCCCTTGGGGGTTAGCGTCCTCGCTGGCACACCACTCAGTTTCTGGCTTTGATACCACTGTAACAGTCCAAACCCACGCTAGCAGATATTGGACCGTTACGTATCACCCTCACGTTTTCAAAACACGTTTGTTAAGGAGAAGTTTCCACGCCTTTACAAGGAATGTTTCGTTCCCCTCTCCAACCGAGGTTGAATCTCACAATAACGTAGTGATATGTGATAATGCCAATGGAAAGCGATCGAACTTTTGCGACATATCCCGGATTATAGATATGGTTAGGGAGATTACTACCTGAAAGTGGCAACTGTTGATGCAGCATCCTACTCGCCAGAACAAAGGAACCATAACTTTCTGAAATTCCACCATATTAACAGCTTCCAAAATCTCCTCTAACTCACCCAGAAACATCACCTCTTTCTGACTGTTCGTTATAGGCCAGTATTTCAACAGTCCTTTAACCACGACGCTAGCTAGCTTCGGTTCCTTCTCGACAAACTGCGTAATGCAGTACGAAAGTTGTTGAAAGTAGGCACCTACAGATTTCGGTTTATGCAGAGGAATCAAAACCCTCCATAAGAAGATCTTGTGTTCCTCTTTAAGAGGTAAAGCAAACCCGCTGATTATACTACCGAATATCTCCAGCAACTCAGCAATGCCATTGTGTCGTTCGGTCTCGGATACGAACCGATAAATTATATTGTTGATAGACTTCCGAATGAACGGCCGATGAACCATGAACTTCCCATATACCCTATGCAGAATCGTTTTCAAACATTCCCTTTCTCTAGGATCCTCCGAATCAAACAACTCCAAAAGTTTCAAGATAAACGAATGGTCCATATACTTCTTAGCAACCTTAGCATCAACACATGAAGAATGTATAAACTTAAGCAGCAAATCATAGACAAGCTGCAAATGAGGCCAAGCAGGATCAAACGTGGGCTCATCGTCGTCATTTTCACCACCACCACCAATCGTATTAGCCCGATAATTCGGTGGAAAAACTCTAAACAAATTAACAGCACACATTTTACATAACGCGTGAATCGCAGGCTCGTTGAATTTCAAAGTCCCAGCTCCAACAAAATCCACTAATTCAATCAACGTTTGTCTTTTAACACCTTTTTCAATGGAATTCTTACTGGGATCCGTAAAATCGAAGGTAACACAACAAAGGCTCAGTTTACTCACAAAGAGATTCGTTTTCTCAGACGAAGGCACATCTTTGAAAGGCACCAAAGGCTCGATTCCAGCCACAAGACTCGCAGGGAACACAGCGGAAGAAGTTTTCTTAGTAGCATTGGACCGGCCAGAGGCAGAAGCTCCACCGTTCGATCTAGAGAACCCAGTGCCAGAAGCGGATGTAGAACTACTTCTCGGACTTGAACGTTGCGACGAAGACCGAGGCGTCCTCGGTGTATCGGACGAGTCTGACGATTTCCGAGGAAGCTTACTGAGGATCTGCTTCAGCATTGTGAAGAAACGATTCGAGAGAAAATGTGGAAAGATCAAAGCCAGAAGTGAAATTTAATCATCAGCCATGATTTTAAGCGAATCGAAAGCAAATTCAAGACGAACAACGTAGAGATTGCAGAGAACATTGACGAAATGTCAGATCCACACGAATCCTGTCAAGCCAAGTTCTCCCAAGGAAGAACATGGGAGGATGATAAGTTGAAATCGACGTTCAGGAAGGCAACAAACACACAACAGAGACATTACAGAGCAGAAAACAAAAGCATAAACAGAAGAACTAGAAGAAGAAGAAGAAGAAGAAGAAGATTTAGGGTTTGATGAACGCAGAAAAAGCAAATCAAAGAGCGATGATTGAAGAATCAAGAACAGTTGCAAGAGTTGGATGAAGAGAGAGAGAGAGAGAGAGAGAGGGAATTGAGGGAGAATAACAATGAAGAGAGGAAGGTCTATAATGGCGGAGAAGGAAGAAGAAAAGAAGGGAGCTCCTCTGGTTTTCAGACACACAAAATTAGCTAATCTCTTCTATCTCCATCAAAATAATGGAGCATTCACCTCTCTCTGCTTTTCATTTTTCTCCCCTTTTTTATTTATTTTATTTATTTATTTATTGCTTTATGGGTATGGGAGTCATAAATTGCAAAATATCCATTTTTTAAATTAAAAAAAAAAACATTAATTTTTCATTACTATTATTATTTTGTCACCAATTAATATATAAATTTTCATTACATTTTTTAGCCCTAATTTAATTAAAATATTATATTATTAATTATAAGATTAAAAAATGTTTTTATAAATTTACTATGAATTTATGAAATAAAAATAAAAATAAAATACTTTTCTAGTTATTTTTTAATATTTATAATTAAATTAGATCTTATGAAAATCTGTAGACGTAAAAGTAAATACATCAAAATAGATATTTAAAAAAATAAAAAAATAATCTACTCTACTAACTCAATTAATTTAAAATTCTCATTTTTTATATACATATTTTAAATTTGTTTATTAATTTTAAATAAATTACGAAAATTATAATTTAAATGTTTTAAGGTTTGGTAAATAAAAATAAAACTTAATTATGACGATTTCATAACAGAACTGAGATTTTAAGTGAAATTCTTATATTCAAATTTATTGCAATTGGTACATTATTTTCAAGTTTTTTTTTAATCCACGGTCTAAAACGACGCCGTATTATTGATGGGCCGAATTTTATCGTAAAGGGCCCAAACTTCGGCCTTATACCAAGCCCACATACGAATTGGGCTGGCTAGTAAATGGGTCCAAGTAGACCCATTGGGCTAGTATATATATGTATATGTATATATATATATATATATATGTATATGTATGTTATATAATAACTAAAATTTTGGGTTGGTTGGAACGGGTGACCCGTCCAACCTAAATAAAATTATCAACTCAATCTTCTATTTTTGAGTCGGATCGAGTTGGAAAAGAGTATTACTTATCAACCATACACATACGTTAAAATATATGAATAATGTACTATTTTTAGTTATTTAAGATATTTTTTCAGTAAGCTTTCAATTAAACATGTATTTTATAAATACAACAAATGTGACGTATGAAAATTAAAAACTGAAATTATCGTTCATTATTGGACAATTAAAAACTTTATAATAACTTTTTAAACCATTACTTTTATAATTATTTGTTTAACTTTGAAAGGTATATGTAAATATTAATTTAAAAATATAGATTCAACTAAGACATATATTTTATTAATTAAGATATTAGAAACTTAATTAATAAAAAAATTAAAGTTTAATATAATTTTAAAAATTAAATTTATTATGATTTTCATACATAATATAAAGGTTTTTTATCTTTTAAAATTTTACAAATAATTTATAATTTTACTTTTCTTTTTTTTTTTCTGATTCCGAAATAAATAAATAAATAATGATTTATAAATTAAAAAAGAAAAAGAAGTAAAAGATTCTCAGGCGAAGGTAAGCACAAGCAATGGAGGTCTAAAGCTGACTCTATCCTTCCCTCCCCAATAAAGCAATTTCACCGATTCACTTCAATTCTTCAAACGCCGTCGTTTCTGTACTCCTCGGAATCCTCTCTACCCTCCGTTCCGCCCGCTTCCGTCGGCGCTGACTCAGTCCGGTGAGGTCTCCGTCTCAGGTCGGAGTTAGCCTTTTCTTTTCCTTATTGTTCAAATTCACGAAATGCTTTGTGTTTTTGTATCTTTGAATGTAGAGGTTGGTTGGAAATGGCTTCTTGTCTTCACCGTCTAGGTCTAGGGTTTGAATTGATGATTATTTTGGGCGGTCGGTGGTCTTCGGCTGGTCATTTTAATTTGTATGAAGTCAGTCAACGTTGTGGAGTTAGGGATTTTGATCTGTGTACTTTGGGATAATCAATTTGTAGTTTGGTTCTACGTGGATTTTGCTTTTGTATTTTGTTCGAAACAATGGTTGGAGTTGTGCACTTAGTCTTTGTTTATTTGGTTCATTTGATTCATTTGATTCTGAGGAACTGATGGAAATTTTGAGAGTTCGGTGTTCGTTTGTTTAACCATATTTCTTTCTTCTGATATTTTGTGTTAGACCTTTAGTTTGTTATTATTATTTATTGTTAAACAAAAGCTGTAGAGATCTTTCATCAACGACGCAAGTAATGCAACTATTTAGAAATGTCATATTGCTTGGAAGAGAGGTCTCCTTCATCTCTGTTTTGTGATTTCTTTCCTTTGTTTCTTCTTCTGCTCTTGCTCTCTTTGTGTCGTGGTGGTCGTGGCTTGGAGGAGCTTATATCTGTGAAAAACCATAGCTATCCGTGCTCGATATCGTCGGGTGAAACTGTTATTTACTTTCTTATCACATGTAAATCTTTATTTGACTTTCCATTTGTTGTTGGCCTCTTAACCTTAATTTGGAAGTTTAGATACTAGTTGTGTATGGTGTGTCTGAGGAATTTAGTTACTAGTTGATTGAATTCAAGATCTTTCATCAGTATGATAGTTCATGTTTGTTTGAGAACTATGGCTAAACTCCTGGTGGTTATTTACTTCTTTAATATAATTATTCGTGTTTTTTCAGATCGAAAGCTTTGTGAATTGACAGAATTGTATCAAGGGGCTGCAGCAACATCAGTTTAAGTTATCTGTAAGTGATATACTTACCTATGAGATTTTTTTTTTTTTGGTCTAATTTTACATGTCTCTACTGCATGTGTTCAACAACGGTTAGTGAAATGTTTTGTTCATTAGTTTCTGAAATTTTACTTTTCTATTTGAATCAGTTAAAGAATGCTATATTGTTATATTTGATCTAATTAGCCAGATTGAAGCTTTTCTTAATAAAAAATGAAAAAAGGATACGGGAGATTGTAGTAAGTTATAAACTATAAAATGTCTTGTTCCATTTCTTTGTTGTTTTGCCCCTTGGAAGGTCAAATAATGTTTGAGCCAAATTAAGCAACCTTATCATTTTTGGCAAAAAATGTCATGCTTGAGAAAAAAGTCAACGTTTTGTGGTGGTTGCCAAATTGGGTTTCTGATTACGCATTGACCGATATATCAAATTGGTGTTAAATCTTGAGCAGTTGATAATCAGAAGTGACCTGTAGTGGGCCAAACACGGCAGCCTTGTTCTAGAGTTCTATGCTTTCGTTGTCCTTTATTGTGTTATTGGACTTAGATGGATGTTCCCTCGGTGGAACTAAATTGTGAAAGCGAAGAAGACTCTTACCCTTTATTAATGGCCCAGCCAGAAAATATCAGCAGCAGTGAGCATATCATTAACATAACTGGTACTGGTGATTCTGCTCCCTCTAGTTTGCCCCATGGTAGGAATTCAAATGGCTTAAATTCATCACAGCCTGAAGATAGACCTTCAAGTAGTGCACGAGTTCCTTCGTCTCAACCTTCAATTTCTACTACTGGATCAAATTCTAGAAATTCTTCATTCATAAGAAGAGGAGATTCGCGACGTCGTAGAAGTCCATTAAATTCTGGCTTATGGATATCTATTGAATTACTACTCACTATGAGCCAGATTATTGCAGCTATTATAGTATTATCATTGTCAAAGAATGAAAAACCTCGTGCACCTTTGTTTGCATGGATTGTGGGATATGCATCTGGGTGTGGTGCGACAGTTCCTCTTCTCTATTGGCGTTATCGACACCGTAATCAGGCTTCAGAACAAGATTCTCTTCAACCTAGTCAGAATTCTAATCGCATTAATGTTCCTGCTGGGCCATTCTCTGTTTCAGTTTCTAGGGCATCAGAAGGCGAAGAACTTCATCATCCTGCCCCATCCCCCAGAGGCAGTGTAGGGTCAGGATTACTGACAGCAAGGTATTGGTTTTTTAATGCTTGTACCAGTATAAAATTGAATAATTGGACTTGATTGGTAGATAAATTAATTTCTGCTATCTTGTGGCATTACTTTTAGATGTATCAGTATTTGGTTTTTCAGTTCACAAGATTAGTTCATTGATTTATGCTTTCTGATAGCTATTTCTACGCTTATTGATTTTGAAATCATGAAAGCTGAGTTGGGAGGGAGAATCTATTCGCACACCTTTTATCTTCTTTTTCATTCCCATACTTAAATTTTCGAACTATGCAAGAGATCCTAATTCCCTACATTTTTACATCTTATTGAAGCTGTTCAACTTACCTCATAAGGGCATGTCAATCTCAGTTGGCAGGTTGCCATTTTCACTGGATCACAGATTCATTATCACGCGTTTATTTTATTCCGTTCTCTTGGACTTAGTGACTATATTTATGCCATATTGCCATGACCTTGACCTAGATTGATTAAATATCAAATGTCTATGATAATGACGGCCAAGGGTGTGGCAGTCTCTTGCTTGCCATAGCTGCTCAATTCCTTGTTTCTTTATCTTTTCATGAGGCATTTTTTCCCTTCTTTTTTCCAGAAGTTGAGCAATAATTGCCCTTACAGTTGGGACTTGTGGTAATTTTGACTGCAGGGTAAAAGTTTTGGTTGAATATTTCAAGATGGGTCTGGATTGCTTCTTTGCTATTTGGTTTGTAGTTGGTAACGTTTGGATCTTTGGAGGGCATTCATCAGCCTCTGAGGCTCCTAATTTGTACAGGTCCGTGTTCTTACACCATATGTATATGTAGACAATGCACACGATTGTTTCTAGAATGGATTTATTAATTTCTTCCTCTTTACTTGCAGGCTATGTATAGTGTTTCTTACCTTTAGCTGTATTGGTTATGCCATGCCCTTCATTCTATGTGTAACCATCTGCTGCTGCCTACCTTGTATAATTTCCATCCTTGGCTTTAGAGAGGACATGACACAGACCCGAGGAGCCACAACAGAATCTATTAATGCATTGCCAACTTATAAGTTTAAGCTGAAGAAAAGTAGAAGTGGAGATGATAGAGAAAACAACTCCGGGGCCGGTGAAGGAGGAGGAGGGGTTGTGGCTGCTGGAACTGAAAAGGAGCGAGTGATTTCAGGAGAAGATGCTGTAAGTACCATACATACAACCTGTTTTGTTAGTAATTGTTTCTTTTCTCTCTTTTTCTCTATTTGTTATCTGTTATAAATTTTTTCCCCTCCGAAACATATCTTTCTCGCCCTAACTGTTTTGCCTTACATTTCTTCCTCTAAAAGTTTTCCCTCTCTAAGATGTCGAACTTTCTAAAAAAACGGAAAACAAAAAAGGGTTACTCAGCATATTTTGCTTTTTTGTTTTCCAAAAACGTTACGAAAAAGAACGGACCTTAATGATTGGGTTGTTGTTCTCATCGTTTCTCTCGTCTGTCTGCAAGCGTTAAAATGTAATCTCGGTTTGTTTTGTTCATAGAGTGTGTTTAGAATTATTTCTTGGACCAATGATTTTACGTGAAACACATTTGTTATAAGCACTTTTGACTAACTACACAAAAGTCTCATTCCTTGAGTTAAATTACTCTATCTGCATGGGTTTAATCTGCTACAAGTGAAATCTCACTTTATGCAACTCATGAAATGGATTACTAGTTGATATGGAAATTATATGACGAAAGTTCGTCGTCTTTTCCATTTCATGATGGTTCCCTCGAGTGTTTTGATGAGAGCCTAGTTCTGATGCATTCACTAGATATGAAAATTAAGCTAATGCTAATTGTTTTAAAAATTATGCGCAGGTCTGTTGCATCTGCTTGGCGAAATATGCCAACAATGATGAACTGAGAGAGTTGCCATGTTCTCACTTTTTCCACAAGGAATGTGTAGATAAATGGTTGAAGATCAACGCCCTGTGCCCGCTTTGCAAAAACGAGGTCGGTGAGAGTATCGTTGGCTCTCTTGAGGGGACAAATAGACAACAACAGGGTGATTAGAGAGGGCAGCAGCTTGACTACAGTGCCATGTTTTACGCGCAAGTTCTCTGGATGGATGGGTTCTGCAAGAATCTGAAAGTTAGACTGATACAAGTGTAGTATGTTCAAGCTCATCCTTTCTTCAGCTGTTTACAGGTTCGTTCCTTCGACAGGCTACTCTTGTAGTAAATCCGACCACTGTCAATATATAGGCGGTTATATAGTGCACGTCGGACGTTCTGAGTGAGTCGTGATCGTTGTGAGATTGCTCGTTTCTGTAGGAACTGAAAATTGCAGATGTTGCAAGGTTTATACTTGTATAATCACACACTCCATGCTCTTGTATTGGCCCCTCTTCAATTTTGTGGCATAATTGCTATGATAATGAATAATTAGTAGAGCATACTGTGTGAGGATAGCATAATATATATATATTTGTTTGCATTTTGCAAGTTCATTCATTCCCTTTGAGTTCAACAATTATTTAGAAGTTCTAGATAGATCGAGCTCGTACCGTTGAACTATGTACACTTGCGAAATGAGAAATATCAGTTAAAAACGCCTACCCATGGATTGTAATATCTGATCCCTCTAGTATTTTTATTTTCAAATTCAATCTCGTATGTAATTCCCATCAATTCTGATTACCCTTTCAAGATGGAAGCTGCCTCCATAGATACCTCTCAACCTTGTTGATTTCACTGGTCGTCCTCACATCCTAACTTTTGAATGGCTGGCCATCCGGTTAGGAGAAAATTTGCAGAGCCCTTCTGCATTCGAGGACTAATCGACTTGGCCGAACCGTTGCCATACACAGCTATAGGAATCAATCATCGACAGGTTCCGAGCATCGTTGCTTTAATTTGCAACCCATCAACCAGTGATCGACCATAAATGGCATTGTGCTGTGTTTGTTCAATACCTGGATTCACCAAATATTTGTCTCAATGAATAAATGTTAATTGGGCAACCATGTAGAAAAGAGTTTCATCAAAGATATGCTATCAATAGTTTCATCAAAGAACGTCAAGATTAGAATAGTTTTCAAGAGAAGTATATTCAGACTTCAGCAACACAAAATATGCAGAATAACTGTTTATAACAATCGAAGCGGGACAAAGGGCAATGACACGAAATGCATAACGCGGTGGAAAAATGTGGGTATGTATATCTCCAAACAAATCCGTTATACTAAGGCCCACATAGACACGTATGTGTTATTTATTTCTAACAGAGATCCTATGAGAAACAGACATCACAAATCCTAGCAGTAACTACAGTCGTCTGCAGCAACTCTCGAAGTTTTTTTTAAAGAAAAAGTTGCATAAAAAGGGAACAAATTCATCTTTTATCTCCCGTCTAAGACAACCAAAACTAATGCTCGATAAACGTAGCTTAATTCGAGCTCCAATATCATCTTTTCTACCCTTGTATCGACAACAGCAGAGTACATAGCTAACTTCGCCCAAGACTCAAAGAAGATGCTAAGATCCAAATTACAATTACCTCAACAAAATTTTGATGGCTTCTGAATTGAGACTTACAAAGAAGATACAAGATGAGAGAAAAAGGGCCTAAAATTTAATCTGATCTTAAGCAATGCATTATGGAGATTTATGACACAAACAAGATATTTTAATGAAATCTCCATACCAGGAAAAGCAGGGCAAGCTTCATGGAAAAGGTCCTTCGACACTACTCGTCGCATTTCATGATGATGGTGCACGGGATGAGAATGTGGTCAATAGCTCATTCTTCACACATATAGCCATTCACAAGCCCTCGAATTCTATTTCGAACAAATTTTCCCATGCTATATAAACCATGATTCAGAACCAATGAAAGTTCCTTCTTTAGAACTCAAATAATTGAATTGTGCCATTAGGCCGTCACCATTCCATGACAAGTCATATCCCGATGCTTATTTTTATGGATAACGGTCTTCAACGATCTATTGCACGTTTCCATAGATAGAGTAAGTCCATTCCCTAGAGTTCGACCCCTCGTAAAGAGAGCAGTAGAAATGTTACCTTCTTGACAAAGTCCACTAATCTTGGAACCATATATAAAAAGATCAGGATCCAATCTCTGCTTGTACATATCCTGAATAAGACGTTCCACCAGATCGATATCACGCTTTCTTAAGAAGGAACGTAGAAGAATATTATATGTTTTTCGGTCAAGCGATAACCCAGCTTTTTGTATACGCTCAAATATCTGGTATGCCTTACTAGTAAATCCATTTCTGCAAAGCTTGTCTAGGAAGATATTGAAAGTGACACTCGAGGGAACGGAGCCGTTACATATCATGTATTCCAATAATCTCCAACATTCGGAATATCGTCCCACTGTAGACAAATATCGAACCAAACAAGTCAAGCTTCTTACATCTGGCTCAACACCTTTACATTCCATGTATTGCAAAACCCTCTGAATTAAAACTAAATCCCCAAGTTTGCATGCAGCGGAGAGAACCGTATTGAATGAAACGACATCAGGGCCGCTCTCAGGCCACTCGAAGCATTCTAATAGCTTCAAAGCATGTTGAATTTCATTGTCTCTACAAAATCCCCTTAAAACTGTATTATACGACACAGTAGTTGGAACAATACCTCCTTTCGTCATACTTTTCAACAGAGAAAAGGCTTCTCTTGATCTATTATTTCGACACAAGCAATGGAAGTATATATTGTACACAACAACGTCAACAGTACAGTTTCTCGTGAACACTTTACGTAATAACTCATAAGCAATTTCTGTCTTTCCTACCTTCATAATCCCTCCAGCCAAAGCAGCATATGTATATGGATCGGGAGAGAAACCTCTACGATGAACCAACTGTAAAAGCTCAACAACATCGCACGTTCTATCATAAAGGCAAAGTGCACGGATAATTATATTATAAGTTACCAAATCTGGATCACAACCCTCAATTTCCATGGATTTCAAGATTTCAAATGCTTCAACAATCCTCCCATCATCACAAAGAAACTTAATAATAACCGTGTAAGTAACGACGTTTGGCTTACATCCATCACTTCTCATTTGATGTAAGAAACTATAAAGATCAACCCACAAACATTCCCTTCCAAATCCATAAAGCAAAGCAGTATATGAACATACATTATGAGGTATGCCATTCTTTTTCATCATATAAAACAACTGCAAAGCTAGAGAACTGTTGCCACACTTACACAATGCCCAAAGAACAGGATTAAACACATATGCTTGAAAATTAAGATTTTTAGATATCAGTTTAGCACAAAACCTGTATGCCTCTTCCAACATCCTGGCTTTACAAAGCATACAAATAAACATAGCCACAGTGGGTTCAGTAGGCAAATGATCTAATCTCAACATGAACTTGAATATCCAAATAGAATCCACTACATTACCTGATTTCATTGAACTTTTCAGCAATTTGGACAAGGATGTGAACGATGGATTCATCCCACTTTTGGTCATCTCTTCTGCAAAGAAGTATGCATCTCTCAGGTAACCTAATGACAGAAATCCATTAAGAAGTATGTTGAAAGTTGTTCTGTTTGGGGATGGCCCGAAATTCTTCATTCCGATATAGACTTGAACCAATTGTTCCAACGAAACATTTCCAGAACTCAAATATCTATGAAACAACGCGTTGTAATCATATACAGAGGGCTTCCCGGCAACATTTTTCATGAAATTCAGAGTCTCTAAAGCTTCAGGAAGATCACCTGAAGCCGCATAGTTCTGCATTCGTGACTGCAAATCGAGGTATTTCCGATTGTTGGTATGGCTGTCTTCGATGATATTTACACTGCTAAGAGCACAGGAAGTGGAATAATTCGCCGAAGAGCGAAGTTTCCGGGAAAGTCGGTGAGGATAATTAATGGCGGGAATTGAAGCAAAACGCATGGCAGGTTAAGAATGGGAGTTGAGCTTTGAACTCCAATGGCGGCGAGAGGGGAGGAGGAACGGATGCAGGGGCGAAGCATTCGGGTTTTTAGGGGCAAAAGCCCTCTCCTTCATTAAAATTGCTCAAAATCGAAGCTTATATAGTGGTTTTTCACGGTTCGGTTTTAGAAAGGAATTGAAGGTGAAACGGAAACTGAACCGAACCGTGAAGATAGTGAAACCCAGGGTTTGAGGGTTTGGATGGCGGAAGGATTGCGGGCGGTGGTTCGGACAAGCGGAAAAGAAGAAGCCGCCGGCGAAAGAGAGGACGGCGAGGACGGTGAGGACGGTGCGACTGCGAAGCAGAAAAGAGAGAGACGGCGGGCGGCTGCGCGGCGGTCGGTGGCAGTGAGGGCGGAGTAGGGAGGTGAGGCTAGAGAGAGATTTTTTGGGGGGAAAAATTAACTTCGCGGCTATATTCCCAAGTTTAGTTGTCGTCTTTAAACCGAATAAAAAAAATGTTTAAATAACTTTAAAAAAATTGATTTAAAAATTAAAATCTAGCTTATAATATGAAAATTATTGTAAAAAACAAAATAATTATCAAATACTCAATTTTCACGGTAATTTTTAAATACATTTACCCTAAAATGGAAATAACAAGGTAATTTTTTAAATCTTTCATTTAATTTCTAATAATTTACTTATTAATTTAAAAAATCTCTATTCCCCAATGCACATACATAAACTCTATCCAAAACAAAAAAATATTCGAAAAACATATTTTTTAAACAACAAATAGTAATCGATATATATTCTCGTAAGTTCAAATTTCAAGCCATTTACTCAATGAGTAATGGGTCAATAGCACGAACCTTCTCATATATATTCTCTTCTATAATTTTTTTTTTTAACCTATCTAATCTTGACTAGGCTAATTCCCAATTTCAACCATTAAAATCTAAAATTTTCCCTTCGTGGAGTTCAATAAACCCGATCATAGTTATGTCAAATGAGGATCTTAAGACCAAAAGTAAACAAAGACACAATCCAATAATTAACGTGAATTTTGTACAAATCAAATTTCATAAGTAGATCTGTACCTTATATAAGTTCAAAACCTCTCTATAATCCATCTAAATTGTGCATCTCATTGCTCTCTTCAAGTCTAGAGTCCAAAAATCGTCGATAGTTACATAAAACTATGAAAATGATGCTTCAAAACTTGGTCCATAGAACATAAGTGAAGAAGGTTTAAAACCATTAAGCTTTTACGAGTCGATCTTTTGTAGTAGAATTTAAAACCGAATGTATTTAGTCAATTGGACGTAAGAAACTTCATGAACATGGAGACTATAATGACTTGATAATTACCTCAATACCTAGAAGTCCTTTATGGATGGAGAGAATCCCTTGCAAGAGTCTAAAGGTAGCATTTCATTACCTTGTTTAGCTTCTACATTGGTCCTTTCTTCTACTTCCAACTTGATTATCCAAACACTACGCTCAGAAGCAGTAAAGGACAACTATGAAGTGTAATGATCAACCAAAAGTTAAAATATTCGCTTCCAAGTGAGATGCTCATACCATGGATTCTATCTTTACGTACCTTCCATTTAAACTATTTGTCGTCCTTGTTAAAATCCTCCCATGAATAAGAGGACGAGATCTATAATGGCTAATCTTCGATCTGTTGTAAGATGAGTTGTTGAGCGATGCATTCTCCAAATTAGATGACGGAGAAGGCATAGACGCATTCCTTCTCGACATGAACCTGAAAATTTACAGCTTATACGATATATGAAGACAGAAATTGTCGAGTATAAATTAATGAGGAAAAGAGGGTTTACCGATTGCTATGGCAATCGCCACGATGTTTTCGACTCCTCTTACAATTCACAAACTGACACATTATCAACATTATACTGTACTAGAATCCAGATCATCCGTCTGAAAAGTATAAAATGGGGGTGGCTAAAGGTAGTATATGAAAGAATACGAAGGGGCTACTAATAATAGACAACAAAAAACATTTTTCTTTTCTCTTGAGTTTTCCAATTACATCTCTTTTCTTCAACGACTATGCCACAAAAAATAGGAAGACCATAAGGAAGAATATTAGTACAAAGAAAATTTTGATCATCAACCACCTATTTGAAGATATGTTGTTTAGATACTTGAGCAAAGCTCCCTGTGCCCCCTCCACGTTTGCCAGAGAATCATCCATATTCTCATCAATCCTGCAACGACCAACCGATATTAACTTTTGAACTACAATCTAATTGGAGACTTATGAAATACGAAAAATGTAACTAGCCTGAAAATATATATCGTGGAAATACATGTCAGTTATGCTAACCGGATAGTTTGGAGAAATATGATTGGTGTGATATTGTGGGGTATTAAATTAGAAGAACCCTAAAGAAATTTTGAGGGTTAGTTTAGTCTCATAGCAATTATTATTCTTTTGGCATACAAGTCTATAGGAGAGTTTCTTGTAACTCTATTAGCTAAGAGGGATATTCCCTCTTATTCTCCTCTTCCCACTTCTCCACATTCAAAATATTAAAAAAAAAAAAAAAAAAAAAAAGAACGACGACAGAGGACATCGAACGAAAAGTTAAGTTTGGGAAATGGTAAATGTAACTGACTAAATGTTGTGTTTACATAAGTGAATTTAGTCCAAGTCAGCCCAACAAGAGGTTATCTTAGCCAGTTAGATGCACTAAACCAGAAAATTACCAAATCAGTCATCAAATAAATAACACAAGTTATCAAGACTCACCTGCTCTACTCCAGTTTTAACAATCACAGATAAATGAACAATAAGTAGCAAGAATATCCAAAATATTCGTCTTATTTCACCAGATTGAAATATAGAAGTAACCACTTCCTTTTAATGATTCTGTTCCTCCACTTTGATTACTAAGCACAAGAAGTGTTGTAATATCTTAGCTAGGTTATTCTCTTTCATATATTTTATTGGATTTTTTTTTTCAAAAACTGATAATATAGATGGGAGATCTTGTTTGACTCCTCTTTTTAGGCTTAGGGATTCCTCATCCATAAAGCACATATGTTGTTCTTTGGTTTGATTCCATGTCTCAGTTATATCTCTCATTTCTTATAAAAGAAAACGTGCACGCATACATACATACACACATGCATAACAAAAACTGCAAATTTTAACCATAGCAAGTTAATAACTGAAGTGAAATCCCACTAGCCAAATTTATATTAGAAGGCAGGCTTGGGGAACCCCCTTTAAAAACATCATCAGATGAAACCAACTTTCATGGAAATCTCGCTGACTACATGACTGAATCTTATATTACTGATAAAATAAATGGTAAAAAGACCCAATACATTTAGAAGCCTTGGCAGGTAAACATATCCAGTTTTAATAAAGGCGATATTTAGACCCATTCGTCTTGTGTAGCACATCAAACTCTTACAGAGTTGAGATCAATTTGCATTTTATGGATACCAAAACCAGACAGATAATTTCAATATATGACCCAAGTTTCATGCTCTGTTTGTAACATAAATGTAATCATTTAATCAGCAATACTGAAATAGGTGCATGAGGGTAGAACCTGATTGCAATCTCTCCTTGTTCAGAAACCAGAGTCGCCAGCTGGTTGAAGATATTGCTCAATTCATGAATAGTGGATTCTACATTTTGAAGAGCTTCAGCTCTGCTCTGCATGTAAGTATCTTGTAATGGAACCATCTGTTGCTGTTGCTGTTGCTGTTGCTGCTGTAACAATGGTTGACTCTCCCCATCTACCTGCTTCCTGTACAATTACAAGCAACATAATTTCGTATTTCACCACAAAATAAATGTTTAATTAAGTTTGACAGGAAATAGAAACAGCAAGACCAAAGAAAGGGATTTCAAGCAAAGAAGAAAAAATAGGACACAACTATGAAGTTGAGAACTTTTCTTAATATAGGAGCTACATGTGAACTTTCATTGGAAACACATGCAACACAAGAGAAGGCATCAACAAAATAAAGGCAAATTATGAATATTCCTCCAATCGGCAATAATAACGAATTGAAGAAGCCTTGCCTGGCCAATAATAATTTCTAAGTCTATTACCGATCCAAAGAAAATGAATAAAATAAGGCAGTTCTGAAAAGGTTGTTTTATAAAGTACAGCAATTTTCATAAATGCCAATGATAAAAGAAATCTGGGATTCAATGTTATTGCCCTGATAATATAAGAGGCTTCATACACCAAATGGTTGAGTTTATCCTTTAAAAGATATAGCTAACATTTAGTAAATTATGACGACTAGGACCGAGAGTTGAACATTTAGTGATAGGCTGCACCAACCATTTTACTTATCAACACACTATATCCAAGGAAGTTTCAAGAGCTTCCCACGCCTACTTCACACAAGGCACAAGAGAAGGTCCAGAAAATCAAAACCAAAAAGATGCCCTCCCTACAAAGTAACTCGCCTCTATAAGCCTCCACCTACAGGGCCCCTCGTATAACTAACAAACCCTGTGAGCCCCACCCAAACACACCCTCTCACATGGTTCCCCTTCACACACATAAGTTCATACACTAGTAATTTCAGCCCTATCATATAGTTCATGAGCCAATTCAGTGGTAGCTCATTTGTATACCTGCAGGTTCAGGACGGTGCCTTTGCAAGCACCATAAACCACAAGATTATATTTTAAAGATATCCCTCTGTCATCTAAAACTAGTCAGTTGAGAATATGCCTTGCATAAATTAGAAAGTTCGTGAAATATATCACCCATAACAATTTTAAAAAATTCTCACCCGGGAGATGTTTTGGAAAAAGATGTAGGCGGCTTGGCCCACGGAGGAGGGGGTGCGCTTGAGGCACCAGCAGTGGACCTGGAAGCTAAAGGGCGTTGGCGCATAAAAGGATTTGTAGATTCCTTTGAAGCAGTAGAAGAAAATAGTTGTCTTCTATTCTCATGAACCTTCAAATTCTTCATTAAACCAACATATAATGTAAGAATTTTTAAAAAATGCTGGAATAGGTTATCAATGAGATAGAGAAAAGCCAATTCAAGAAAAAACACGCAGTGTAACATTTGGGCTTACTTCTGTTCGCATAGTTAGAACTTCTTTAAATTCTTTAGTTGTGCTCATAAGGCGATTCTTAAGATCATCCACCACAGTGGTTGAATGACTAGTAGTATCGCTGGACATGTTTCCATTTTCATTTCTAGAGTTGCAGTGAAGCTGAAGATCTACAACTGCAGAGTTCAATGTTGTAATGTCCTGCTTAATAAGTGCAGTTAGCTCCTGAATTTCCATTGTTGGGTCATCAAAAACTGAAGTCCTCTTTGCCACTGGAAATCATGATGTGAACATCAAAATTCAATCAAACAAATTGGAAAGTTTCGCTGTCATGCTCCATGCATTATCTTTAAGAAAAATTATTTTCATTGGCAACATTAGGCACTCTCTTCCTCCACATGCATTAAGCTCAATTTCGTAACTGACAATAAAACCAACCCATGCAAAACAGAGAAATGTTTCCTCCCTAGTTCTCCCTTGCATTCCGCAGGCCTAAATAAAATCAGCAGCCTAAATTTAAGGTCTCAAAAAGTTGCAATTTACAAAGGGATTGAATCACAGATGCAGTTTTTTCAGAGTTGAAGAATATGTTTGTATAATTAAATGGACTCTCAAGGAAAATGTTCAATGCCTAATTGAATCGTATGAACCATCCCACATGTTACCCACTCAAACATCTTACCAAGGCACAATGCATACCAAAATCTGCCAACTTCTTTCTAAACAAGGTCCTCAAATTAAGGAAATTTATCAATGAGTCATCATGACATGCTTAAATCATCATATAAACTGAAAATGGTGTCTGCAGTGAACTACATACTTCAAGACAGCACAGCTGCACTGCACTGCAGATTACTTTCAATTCAACTACTTACATTTTGCCAACTTTGAGAGTTTCTGGGACGTCTGGTGTATCCCTAACCCAATCTTGGAAGCCCTCTTATTAAATTCTGACTGCAGAGCCACAGCAGAACGCTGCTCTTCTGATTTTAAACCAACACTTGGTCCTGTTGTTCCAGTGCCAGATGAGAAAGACTTCTTTAGCCTTTCTGCTATGTTCTGGAATTCATGCGTCCGATCTCTAAATGATTGCGCTGTTTTGACAGCCATCTTCAACTCGGTAAGCTCAAACTCTACAAAAATATCATGAAAACCATTCGCATAATTAATGGACTTTCACTTTCGAATAATGAGACTATCATCGGCTAAAGCTACCATGGAACTAAAATAAAACTAAGCTAGATATTTCCGTTGCCATGAAATTGTTTTGATCTTCATAATGTTAATCCATATTAATTGAAAAAAAATCAGATCGCGTCATTTAATAAACGGATAGAATTCGAAATTTCATCGAAAGAGTGAAAACAATCCGAGTAAACAGAATTCAACGCGATACATCCTTATGCCAATCAGTCTAGAGGAATGTCGGTACAAAGCATTCCAAGTATTCGAATCACAAATTACGCCAAGAAATACCCGGACACCGTCAATTACAAGTATCTAAACCAAACATTTCTACCTTAGACCTAAATTTGCAAACATACAACGAAAAAGACAGTAGAACGAAAAATGTAATTACCTCCACAGACGCGAGATACGAATCTCTCAAGCCTCAAAGAGAAATTCTAGCAAAAAGAAACGGTAGAATGCGCCAATTTCAGAGAGAAATGGAAGTAAAACCCTAGATCTGGATCAAAATCGCCATTCACCCGAATCGGCCAGAAACGCGTTCAATATCCCGGCGACGCACTTAATCCGAAAAATAAGAATCAAATTACAGATCAAAAAGAGTGAGTAATCGATGAAGTTGGATCATCGATTGAAATTGAAGCCGAAGGCGATCAGATTGTGGAAAGAAAGAAAAAACAAATATGGCGGTAACGAACCGAGTTAAGTAAGCTGATGAAAAGAGGCGCTGAACAGAAAAATAGAGGAAAATTACCCGCTACTGATCAACGAGTAAAAAGTATTTTTTTTAATAAATAAATAATTATGTAATTGTATTAACTGGTGTACCTCCAACTCACAACCGGGACCAACCCAACTCCAACTACAAATATTAGGTTGGGTTAGATTAGCATTTCGGATAAGGTTGGATTCATTTCTCTTAACCCGAACTAAATTGATCCGGTTTCAGATTCGTGAAACAAAATCTTTGAATTCACTCGAACCAGATAAAAATATATAAAGTATATTAATAACTTACCCAAACATGTTTTATTATTTATATATATTTTTATTTTTCTGTTCACATTGTTTTTCTATTCTAATAGTAGAGCATATTTCAATTAAAACATTTTTATATATTTTTTATTTTTGTTATATATCATATTTTTAAACTAATAGTTTTTATTGTTTATTTAATTTTATAATTCATACTTATATTTTTGTTTTTTTTTTTATAATTATGGATTAATTTATCTTTATTTGTGAACTTTTAATATATTTTCGGTAATATTGTATCAAATAATTATAAATCGTGAATAAATAAAACTTAAAAAAAAATGACAACTATAATTATTATAATTTTTTTATCTCTAAATAATGTATTATTAATCTATAAATATAATTATTATTATTTCTTAATGCATGACTAAACTTTTTCAATTGAATATTTAAATAATTCATTAACTAATTATGAATCCTTTCATATTTAGGTTTATTTTATTTAATATTTACAAAAAAAAAAAATTGTGATGTGAGAATAATATTACAGAAGAAAAAGAATAAAATCAATAAATTAAATGGTTTTTTCTTTTATTTATGGCCACTGAATTAATTCCCTTGTTTCTAAGGGTATTTCGAGAAAGTGGAGAATAAATTATCACAAATTATTGCACTAATACGTTGGGCAAATTGGTCATTTATTATTTGAATGCAAAATTATACTTATTCTTCGATATTTAGAAAATAATGTATTCACAAGGATTTTATTATTATTATATAAATATTGGAAAAAACAACTCGGGCCCACACAATTCACGATAAAATTATTATTATTCATATACCGAGAAAGAAAATACGTACACACATACTTTGTGTAAAATCTCGAATCAAGTTTGTTTTATTTATAAAACATAAATCAGATACCCGTGATCTCTAAACTATCATATTTAGAGAGCAATCTAATTCATCTCGACCACCTCGAAGAAATGGACCAAATTCTATTATATTTATCGATGATCAAGTATAATTTCAAACCTAATGGTGATCTTCTCTGCCCCATTTTCTAAGCCAGAGGAGGACGTGCACCACCATGCCACACAGGAACCCTAGCGCAGCGCTAGAGCCCACTAGTGAGACACTAGTGCATATCAGTACCACAAACGCCTGCTCTTTACTGTTCATGTCTCTTGCTGCCATCGCCAACTCCACTCCAGCAAATAGTAGTAGAACCCCCAAAATCGCTACTGGAAATTGGTTTAAGACCTGTTTAGAATACGAAGTGAACGATTAAAAGGTCAACTCTTATAAAGTAAAAACTCAAAAAGGACGACATATATGTTAATAGGGTGAAGTCAACTCTTATAAGGTCAACTCCTATTCATTTTTTCTAAACCTCCGTTGACTAAATAAAGGTAAAAAAAAAGCTGAACCTTTGCAATAGAGCTTCCGAGAACCAAGCCAAGCAGCAACTTTGCGGCGCCGAGAAAGGCAACGCACGCGCCGCTCCTGCCGCCGAACTTGTACTGGCCAGCGAGCCCACCAGCACCGTGGCAGGTCGGAACGCCGCCGAACCAACAACCGATGATGTTCATAAGCCCCACCGTCATCGACAGCGACGTGACGGTGAAAACCCTCCCGGGAAAAAGGTCCATGGAGAGCTTACAAACGGCGATAACAGAGTTTAAAATGGACAGAGGAAGCTGAGGAATTGTACCCTTTATAAACCCCTTTTTCCATTGGCTCTTTGTAATCTTGATGACACTCATCGGCGACGGCCCAAATCTAACGCCGTTCACCACTTCCGGCGTTCGAATGAACAGAGAAGCGGCGCCGATCAAGAAAATTATGAACGCCGATGGAAGTTTTGTTATGATCTTCCTCACCTTCTCTCGTTTACTTCCCTCCGCCGGTGGTTCTTCACGGTGCTCTTCTTCTCCGGCGCCGTTGACGACGATTACAAAACAAGCACAAACAATGGCCGGAATCAATCCGTCAAATCCAAGCCACCCACGACCGTCAAGAGATTTGGATTTCGCCATATTTTGATCATAACGGACATATTTAACAGCCGTGAGAGCAAAAGACAAGCCTTGAGCCAATTGAATTCCTCTCACGACCGGCAACGGAATGAATTTATAAACCAATTGCATCAGCCCTATCGCACCCAGAAAAAACAGAATCCCGCCGGTCAAGATTCCGGCCGCCATGATCTCTGCCACGTCGAATTCAGGATCGGCCAGGGCGGCGGCGGCGATTGATTTCATTGGCTGGACCGGCATCGGAACGCCGTATATTAGGCCGGTGATGATGTTGTAGATTCCGGTGAAAATCAACGTGGTGCCTAAATTGAGATCCTTGGAGAGTGTCAAGGATAAGACTATGGGAATATATGTCCCCAAATCGCCCATTGCGCCGTTCAATTCTGCCAATTTTGACCGGAATACCAGATTGGTTTTCAGCTTTTCCATTACTCTGCCCGGAAAACTGGCGATCGACATCGGATTACCGGTTTCCGGCGGGTTTTCGAGGGATCGGGAAGGGCGGTTTTGCGAGGCCATGAGAAAGGGTCTGATGGTTTTGAATTTGGCCGTGGAGTTAAATAGAAATCAACAAAAGTATATTCTTTTTTTATCCAAAATTAATTATTATTTTTAGCCAATTAAATATTTAGATATTTGTTTTATTTTTACATTTAATATTTGGTTACCCGCCACTTCAATTTTGGCTCGTGTCACAAAAATAATATACATCTTTGAACTCGATCATTTTTCGATTAAGTTGGACATAAGGACAAGCACGAATACCAAGAAAATCAAAGATTACACGTGGCTAAAAAGAAAATCGATGACTACATGTGTCTAAAAAGAAAATTGAAGACTGCATGTGGCTAAAAAGTCGAGTACATAATAAAACAGGTTAAAGTACAAAAGAAACCAAGTCACTAAATATGAGGCATAAAAGAAACTTGGGTCGGATTTATACTAAATTCTTTCTAGCATAATTGTTTAAATTGTGAGATTCCGCATCGGTTGGAGAGGAGAACGAAATATTCTTTATAAGGGTGTGAAAACCTCTCCCCAGTAGACACATTTTTAAATTGTGAGGTTGTTACGTAACGAGTCAAAGCAGACAATATTTATTAGTTGTGGGTTTGGGTTGTTATAAATGATATCAGAGCCAGACACCAGATGGTGTGCCAGACAAGACGTTGGGCCCCATGTGGATTTGAGAGAGAAACGAAACATTTCTTATAAGAGTGTGAAAACTCCGAGGCTGATGGCGATATGTAACGGGTCAAAGTGAACAATATTTAGTAGTCGTGGGATTGAGGTGTTACAAAGCTTGTGTGGCGAAACCCTTATTTTGGAGGCTATTTATTTTCGTTAAACAAATTTTAAAATAATTGAGATTTTGTTTCAATATTTTAAAATATTAAAATTAGCATATAAATTATCCTCAATCTATTATAGTTATTTGTTAATTGAAATTCAAGATAAGGTTGACTTTTGTTAATTATTTAATTAAAATTCAAGATAAGGTTGACTTTTGTTTATTTAATGGATAATTCGATATTAACATAAATTGCAGTTGCTCGAGTAAACTTAACATATTTCCAAACCAATCACATTTATTTCCATTTAAAATTAATACAAAGTCAACATTAAAATTTTAAAGCAAAACAAAAATGTAATTTCTTAAAAAAAAATTAATCTAAAACTTTATATAAACTAAACAAAAGTGGAGCGACTAGCGTGTCTCGAGTAAACCCTAATTAAATGGGAGTGTCGAAACTGTGCAGTATTCAGCCATCTACACTCTAAAGCTTTAACTTGTATCAAGTTCTATGGGCTTCGAGCTTCCCCGAAACTGTGCAGTGTTCAGCCTTCTACACTCGAAACTGTGCAGTATTCAGCCAGCCTTCTACACTCTAAAGCTTTAACTTGTATCAAGTTCTATGGGCTTCGAGCTTCCCCGAAACTATGCAGTGTTCCCGAAACTGTGCAGTGTTCAGCCTTCTACACTCTAAGGCTTTAACTTGTATCAAGTTCTATGGGCTTCGAGCTTCCCCTCAAGTAGATACGGTCATCTGTAAGCTTTTCTTTTCGGGCTTCCTCTCAGCTTTCCCTCCCGAGCTTCGCTAGCAGATACTATCTTCTATAGGCTTTCCCTTTCGGACTTCCCTAAAACGTGTCTACTAAAGAGAGATTTCTACGCCCTTATAACAAATGTTTCGTTCTACTCTCCAACCGATGTGGAACTTACATTTATGGTTCTAATAAATTCTTACCCATTCAAAAAAAAAAATTAAAATTTACGAGCCTACTAGAAATAAGATGAAAAGTATGCGTTCCTAAAGTTTCGGGTCCATTCGTCATCTTATTTTCTGGCCATAATCATAAATGAAGCCAGAAAGAAACTCAAAAATAGGAGCCACAAAAAACAGGCTCACAAGGCATTCACAGTCAGGTTTATGTAAAAATGGTGAAGCAACAAAGACAGTAGACACCATGATTTTACAAAAATGATCATCCATGGCCGCCACCAATGGACATAAAAACAGCTCTTTTCAAACAGATGACCAAAAGGGTGTCCGTTAACTTCAATGGGCATCTATTGGAATTGGCTCTGTATCGATGGAATCTCATCATCCATACATAAGGAATTGATGTGGTGTACACGGCGACTGCTTATGCAAAGCCACCAACGCTCGTTCCGAAGAGATCCTCATCACGGTCAGCATTGGACTTGGG